ATACTCCCTCCGTCCCGGGGAGAAGTTCCCAATTTCCTTATCTGGAAGTCCCAAAAGAAACTTCTCATTTCCCTAAATGGAAAGTTATTCTACATTAAAACAGTGCAAAACAGTGCCAAACAGTGTCGAAACAGTGCCAAACAGTGTCGAAACAGTGCAAAATAGTAAAATACCCTCAGTAACTTTATTTCCTAAAAATGTGTGAAAATCAACCCAGGAACTTCTCCCCGAGACGGAGGGAGTATATATTTAGGAATCTGCATAATACATATCTAGAAATCTCCCTAATATCTATTTAGGGAGTATCTAATATCTTGAATTTTCAACATTCAATCCAAACCGCCCACCAAAGTCACGTTGCAATCTTAGACTGTTTTGTTGACTTAGCTTACAGCCATGCACTGTTGTAAACTTAATGCGCATTCAAACTTGTATTGGGGCGTATGTTTAATACTGTACTCCGTACTGAGTACTCCGTACTATTTAAAGAAAAAGTTAAAGTTTGTATTGGGCCGTATGCTTAATACTGTACTCCGTACTGAGTACTCGTACTATTTAAAGACTAAAAGGTTTCAAAATTCCAAAATAGGGCTCTCATGTTTTTATTCCCAAAATAGGACTAATTACTGCCATGTTTTGGCAGTACCAGACTTCAAACATGACAGTATATTCCAAACTTGACAGTAATTGCTCCTATTTTGAGAATAAAAAACATGGCAGTCCTATTTTGGAACTTTCAAACTGTTTTAGTCCTATTTCGGGAACTTTCCCTTTAAAGAAAAAGTTAAAGTTTTATATATGACAACTCCGTTACCCATTTAAAAAACATGGTACCGTACTCACCATTCAATTGACTGGTCCACATCATGATATCATTTTTAATTTGAATTTAAATTATTTAACTGCAAAATTCTCATTGGTCCATGTGGACAAAAGTATGGTACCTTATGGATACCATAGAATCTACCAAAGTTTTATTCTCAAAATAATTCATCAATTCAATTCGATATTATTTACTTTCTATCTAATCATTTTTTTCATTTTTATCGTTTTCATTCTTCTGTCACATTTTGTTTGTCTTATTCTCTTTTTATAGTTTATCCCAAAATGAAAGTCTTGTTTCCTTTTTAGGCAAGAAGAATGTGGCTCGGGTCATATCATTTTACTGTATTGTACTCAAATTTTATCTACTTTACTTTTCAACCTTTTTTATTAACAATTGTGTTAAACTAAAACCAGACATCGAATTTGGGAAGAAGGTAGTATCACTTTTTTCTTTATCTTATATTTATATTTATATACTCCCTCCGTCCCGCAAAGAAATTCCCGATTTGACCTACACACATAGAGCCCGTTTGGTAGCACGGAAATCGGCTGATTTGGCTGATTCTGCTGAAATTTATGAAGTTTTGGCTGAAGTGGCTGCATTGGCTGATTCTGTTGATTTAAGAAAAAATTATTTTTAAAATATATTTTATCAATAAAGTAAAGAAAAAATTATATGTAAAAATAGCTAAAATGTTCATCTACAGTAATTTCAGCCAATACAGCCACAAAAGTAACTCCAACCTTACTTTTTCTGCTTATTACACAATTCAGAGCGCGAAAGCAAAAATCACGTGTTTAGTGAAAAAGTTGGCTGATAAGCCGAAAAACAATGTTGCCAAACGGCCTCATATTAAGAAAATAAACTTACAAGGGGGTAAATTTTACTGTTTTGACACTGTTTAACACTATTTTGCATTGTTTTGATGTAGGATAACTTTCAATTTCCAGAAATGGGAACTTCTTTTTGGGACTACTAAAAAAGGAAAGAGTGAACTTCTTTGCGGGACGGAGGGAGTAAATCTTAAGCTTATCTTATTTTATCACACTTTATGATTTTATCTTCTTATCTTTCTTTCTTTTTTTGCTCTGATATCATGTATCGATTCAATATATCATGTTAGTCGACATCAAAATCTTTTGGGACTTAAACTTGGTTGTTGTTCTTGATTTGTTCTTAATTGTTTAGGATATCAATTTGTCATTACACTCAATAATATACACTTTGAATTTTGCAATTTTATAGAGATTTTGATATAGTTTCTAAATATGTAAATTTTACTTATCTATTTCATAATTAACTCATGCTTTGTCTTGATGACATATATATGGAATAAACAAGTGAATATTGTGTACATTTTTCCTACATATCGTCCATTCTTATTAAAATATATAGAACCAATCTTTTCTGATAGAATAAAATACAAGTACACCATTAAAAATTCAATTAACTTTACTAAACTAGATTCAAATAACAGTATACTACAATACTGCCTTAATTTCATCCAAAAAAAAACACTACTGCCTTATTTGAGTTCAAATACATGACTACATGTCTACATGCATTATTAAACATGTTTTTGTTTGGATTGAAAAATTCTAGCTGATCTGATTCGATATGTTTAAGTCAGGTCTCCACAACTTTTATTTTTCAACTACATACCCAAAATCACAACTTTTATTTTTCAAATACTTTATTTTTCAACTTTCCACATAGGAATCTTAACTCATTCAAAGAGGTTAACCTTTATAAGGGGTTAAAAATTCCTTGAGTTTTCCGGTGTGGTTAAATCACTTTAGAAATCATCATTTTCCTGATCCAAAGAGGTTAACCTTTATAACGAGTGAACTTCGAGAATCAATTTATCATTCACCGGTTATTCTTTTTGAATGTACCATATATCGAATTGGAGCCCATAACAAGGAGAGCCTGAAACCACTTTCTCCCAACTCAAATCGGAAGTGGGACCCACTCAACATTCTGCATGAAATTGACCATTTAATGCAATTTTAACACATTTTTCCAACATGATTACATTCTAAAAATAGATACGGAGTATGGATGTTTTTACTTGAACTGTTTTCAGTCCCAGATCAGACCAGACTTAGGCTATGTTTGGCACAACGACCTGAAACTGGAGGCTAATGTCTGAAATAGGGGCTATTGTCTGAACCAGAGACTATTGTCTGAAGCTGAACTTTGGAGTGCTGAATCTGAATTGCTAACTGAATGAAGTAGACCTGTTTGGCAAAAAGAGCTGAAACATTGCAGGGATAATATGAAATGACATTAAAGGACATATGAAGATATAATATAATATAATATAATATAATATAATATAATATAATATAATATAATATAATATAATATAATATAATATAATATAATATAATATAATATAATATAATATAATATAATATAATATAATATAATATAATATAATATAATATAATATAATATAATATAATATAATATAATATAATATAATATAATATAATATAATATAATATAATATAATATAATATAATATAATATAATATAATATAATATAATATAATATAATATAATATAATATAATATAATATAATATAATATAATATAATATAATATAATATAATATAATATAATATAATATAATATAATATAGTGCATTGATTTCAAAAAACCCACAACATTCGAGTACGCGACTAGAAATAAAAAATCATAAAGATAACATTTTAGTTGGAAATAACTGTAATAGATAAATATGCAAACATAAACATCGTCATAATTGACTAATCAGAGTGAAAATATCTAATGTCTATTAGCCCATATCAAGGATGCTATATTGTTGCGAAGTTCCTTCATCTCACTGCAACTTTGTGTTTGTGAACTGGTGGTACTTGAATTTGAGCTCTGAATATCAACAAGATCATCACGTGGTATGAAGTCTGGATGGTGCTCGAGAACCTCAAATATCAAGTCATCGTTGGAGAATTTGCGAATATAATTGTGCAAAGCAAATGTTGCCATAATAACGTCTATCTGCGTTTTAACGCTAAACATAGGCATTCTTGATAAAATTTTCCACCTCTTTTTCAAAACACCAAAAGAACGCTCTATGCAACTACGAAGAGATGAGTGTGAGCGATTGAAAGCTTCTTGAGCATTTGTTGGTGCTTCATTTTCAAATTGTTCCAAGTGGTATCGTAGCTTGGGATAAGGAACGAGATAACCTTTTCGATCTGGATAGCCTTTATCCACCAAATAATATCGACCTACATAAATTTTAGAAATATGATAAAAATAATGTATATGAATCTAACAAATTGACAATAAAACATACCTTCAGGTGGATGTGGAAAGTTCAACAAGGGTGTCTCAATAGCATGAAGGAATACACGTGTATCATGGGTCGATCCCTCCCACCCTACCGATAAAAATGTAAAACACATGGTGAAATCACACACAGCCATAACATTAAAGGTTGGGACACCTTTTCTTCCCCTATAACGAAGTTGTTCCTTTACTGGGATGCACGCTGCTACGTGTGTTCCATCAATACACCCGATGCAATCCTTGAAATAAGGCATATATCTTTTATCCTTTGAGATATGATAAGGGACATACGGAAAGGCCCGATCAGTTGGTGCAATCATGTCACGAGCAAGTCCCTTGTATCCCGTACTCCTACCAGCGATGGATTCTAAGACATCATGAAATGCTCGACTTACCGTTTCTCCAGATCTTTGGAACCTCTCAGCCACATCCCGGTTTGAGAGCCCCAAAGCTAAAGTGTATATAAATATACCTACTTTTTCTTCAATTGTAATTTTGTCACTTGATGTTAAACCGTATTTTAATTGCAAATCCTTACACAGGCGTGCAAATAAATTTGGAGACATCCTAAAGGCATTAACACAACGAATAGGATGACCATTTAACACCTCTTTCATCCAAGCCTCCCCGCTTAAAGCTGATGTCATGCAAGGCTCCTTATACATATGCTTGTAATAATGGGAAGCAATAATAGCATTTCTATCATGAATAGTAATTCCAACCATAATAAGAAGCAGAAACTCATCATCATCGTCATCATGGCTCATGATATCCCTATAAATAAATAAATAAATAAATAAATAAATGTATATAATAATAATAATATAAGCATACTATTCTTAGAAAAACAAATCCCCTGAATCTCAACATATAAAAATTAAAATCAAATATCCAACCTAAATAAATAAATTCGTATCCTAAATGTTACTGGTGACATAACATTGCAAATGTTTATGTCAAAATAGCATACTAAATGTATTTAAAATATTCCTTTTGCGTGCATAAACTTCAGCCAGTCGAGCCTTTCATCGTCATCTTTAAAATTCATGAAGAATTGTCTTCTACTAAGACTGTCGAGAACACAAATGCTGTGAAACCACAAGTCACCACTCCTCACCAGCCCACCATTCTCAGCCATTCTGGTCATAATTACCATGACATCACCAACACTAACACAATCATCATCAACCTTCTCCTTTTTAGTCAAGAGGCGCTCAATTGCTTGAAGACATGTATTCCCCCTCTCTAAATTTTCACTTAGTTTTACCGATCCCTTAGACTGCCTTAGTTTGCGCTTCTTACTAGTGGCACTGGTCCCTGCATCTTCAACAGTGGTAATTGTAGGAGCAGAAGGCATATTCCCACTAGCCTCGTTCATAAAATCTTGAAAAAAGTTTTCCAGATCTGGTTCAGCATTATATCTGTTAAATACCTCGTAAGTATCAGTGTTATCCTCCAAGGTGACAGTGTCTTGGTGATTTTCTTGATTGTCATTCTCCAAAATTGTAGCCGTTGGAGCCACACATTCTACTCCAGTGGCTACTGAGTCCCCAAATATTTGATCCCACTGCTCTTCAATATGCGGCAAAACTCCTTTATGCCTGAACTTCTTAACTTCTGCTTTTTCCTGTAGATTTTTTTTCTTTAAAAGTCAAATATTCTAGTATGTTTAAATTCTAAGGTAATAAATTGTACAAACTACCATATATACCTTAATTTTTTTACCCCACCATTCATCTGAACAATCCAGCGTGCCAGTGGTTGCATTCCAACCCAAACCAGTCTCGTCACGCTTCAATAATTTCCATAATCGCCATTCCTTTTTCATAAAATCAAACTTATTTTTCAAGCTTTTAAAAGAACATTTCCTTTTTGTTCTCTCTTCAAACAAAGCTTGCATCTCCTTCCACCTAAATTGTTGTCCCCTCCCATTCTTAAGAATGAACTGAATGCATATGTCATTAAAAATTCCGATCGTTTCATCGGACCAAATAAAATATCCCCCGTCTTCTTTCTTAGACGACATCTGAAAGGCTCAACCAGCAATATAGCAAATGCAAAATGAGAATTTTGCATTATAGATATAGTAAGGTGATTAGGTATACACATATGCTGTTTCAAATCCAAATGAAACTATAAGGTTCTCAGTTAAATAGAGACAGACAAAACTTTAGCATTTGTATTCAATTATCTTATTAGCATTAACATTCTAAACCTCAAAATAGCCCTCAGGTGTCTACCATCGCCCAAGTTAGAAGACCCGACTTGCCTGCTTCTGAAGGTAACCCAAGTTTAGAGTTAATGTTTTGTTTTATTTTTACTATTTTGGCTGATGTTGGTTGTGGAACATTATTTTATTATTACTATTTATTTTTGCTTGTGTGTTCTCTTATGAATTCACACAATCTATTGCAGTTACGTCAGGGGGGAAGTGAGACCACTGAAACCAAACAGTCCCCATCGGCACTCTTTGATGCAGGCACACCATATTCAGCTCTCCAGTCACATAATTTACCAGATGAGGAAAATTACAGTACTTGTTGAGAACCAAAAAAGCAGTATGCAAATTAATTTCTTAAACTTACATTCTGACTTGTAGTGTAGTGGATATTACACTTTATAGTTTATGTACAGGTATAGTTTACAATACTTAATACACTTTCATATGTTTATACATAAATGATGAAACACACGTATACATAAAAGAGCTAAATCAAAATACCTTCTCTGATTTATCATAAACAGAGAACATGAATGTTATAGTTTAAGTGATTGTATTTTGATTTATCCTAAACAATACTACGTAATTACCAAAGCAAGTGTGGTGGTAATGAACAAATATTAAAAAGAAAAGGAAAGAACACAAAAGCCACAAACGTGTGCACTACATATGAAGATTAATAGATTATCATATTGACAGACTTTAATGTGCAAAAGAATAAAACATGCAGACTTAAAAAGTAATTGAAGACAAAATTAAAGTAACTTAATTATAAGCCAATCCAACCGATGCAGATAAGAGTGAACACAAAGACACTTAAATATGCAAGAACAAATACTAATTTAATACGCAGTATGAATAATCATGTATAAACAGGATGGGATAGATATAGAAATTAGAATAGCATGTTAGGAACTTGAAATTGTACATGTACAAAACGATGTTGCTGCGAACAAATAAAGATGAAGCAAAACTGAAAAAAAAAAATAAGAATCGTGATACACGCAGAATTTAAATATAGAAAACATCTGAAAACAATTTAAATTTTAAAACACTTACATTTGGGGCTGAGGTAATTTGTGCATCTTTTCCTGTTATCTGTTTTAAAAGTGCTTAAGACTTTTTACATGAAAATACCTTCTTAAGGGATATTTATGTATATGAGTTCCTGTTATCGTTTACCTATAATCATCTTTTTTCATGACTGAGGTAACAGGCAAGCACATGACCTCGTTTTGATGTACTGGGGGTGAAGTACATGGTTTTACGTTTTCAGTTCTATCACAAAGGGGAATTAATTTGTTCATGAATGATAACAGGAATCTGGTAAGATTAGTCAAGATAAGAAAAAGAAGAAGAGACCTGAGAAGAAGAAAAAGAAGAAGAAACCTGAGAAGGAGAATCAGCAAGAAGGATGAACCATACCTCACACCAGTGAATCAAGGTGAAGAATTTTGGTTTTGAAGGGATGTTTAACGCAGCCGAAGGAAAGGATCGATGATGGCGCCGTTTGCCGCGAAGAAAGCCATATATATACGCGCGTAGGGTAATTTAGGGATCGGAATGTATTATTCAATCGGCTGGAGGTAAACGCTTGGTCCAATAACGTTTTAATTCAGCCCACTTTTTCAACCTTCAGCTCAGTTCAGACTTTTATCCAAACAGGTCTACTTAAAAAATTATTAGCTGAATTTAATAAATTTCAGCCCATTATGGGCTGAAGTGGCACACCAAACATAGCCTTAGGCTATGTTTGGCACGCCCATTCAGCTCAAAAAGGGCTGAAATTTCTATAATTCAGTCAATATTAATTAAACTAGCCCCGTTTGTTTGAAGAGCTAAACAAGGCTTCAGGTGGAATAAATGGACTGAATCAGAACGTTAGGGAAGATAGAATCAGACGACCATTTTCAGACTTTACGTTCCCAAGTTAACCTTCTCCGTCAATTGATAACCACAAAAACACAACCCTGTGGCTAGCGAGCTCATAGGCCTTATCCTTCACGTTGGCCCTTGTAGCGGCATCGGGTGCTGTATACAAATAAATTACATGGACTTTTATTTGGTACTAACAAGGGTTACAGAAAATTGAAGCCTGAAACCACATTATTTGGAGTTTCTTGTGATCGATAAAGGAAATTATATTGAGGAGGAGCATGGAATATATTGAATCGTAAGAGGAACAACACCGGAAACTACACCTCTTGACTCTGGTTATGCTGATAAGTACAAACCGATTGATAGTTCATTTGTAATACGACTATCCAATTGATGGGAATATGTCAAATATGCTTCTCCAGAATCTGGATTCTTCGATTGTTATTGCCTTTTTGCTTTATTTGATGGGAATTAACAATCCAAATTGCTTTTAGAAGCCAATCGCTATATACGGAGTATATGTGTGTATAATTAATAATAAGTATTTTTGCTATATACGGAGGAGTATTATATGAAGTATGTCTTTTTTTGTAATTTTAATTTTTTCAGTCTCCTCTCCAGCTATTTCTGTCAAACGAGTTTACTTCATTCAGCTAGTAATTCTGATTCAGCACTTCAAAGTTCAGATTCAGACAATAGTCTCTAATTCAGACAATAGTACTTAATTCGGACAATAGCCTCCAGATTCAGCTCGTTGTGCCAAACATAGCCTTTAACAGACCAGACCAGACTTAACAGACCAAACCAGACTAGACTAGACTTAAAGAGACTAGAATAGACCCAGACTTGACTTCCGTAATTATAAAATACACAGAGACCAGACGTTTTATCAGACCAGACTAGTTCAAACCAAACCAGACTTAAACATACTAGATCAAACCAGAATTAACAAGCCAGACCAAACCATACTAGCAAATTAGAGTGAAATAAAAACATTCTAAGTTTTATTCAAAAAAAAACATTCTAAGTTCAGTTCTAATCCTTATTTTAGAAAGAAAAGGAAGATATATCCTATTAATGAAATTTGTGGTGTTATGTCACATGTCCTTATTCCGTACCATTTTGGCGGCGTGACATTTCTCCAAAGACATGTGGAAAGCCGCCTATAAGTACGTACGTTGTAGCACCGGCAAATCGAAGAAGCTAACTGCGGGCGATCGAATTCCGGCCCCACAATCAATTAACTAGCTAACGGCGTTCATTTCACCGGCGGCGATGGAGCGCGACGTTGGGCAGCGGAAGACGGTTCTGGTGACGAACGACGACGGAGTGGACGCGGCCGGGTTGCGGGCTCTGGTCGGAGTCCTTGTGGCGACCGGCCGGTTCAACGTGCTGGTCTGCGCTCCTGACTCGGAGAAGTCCGCCGTGAGCCACAGCATCACGTGGCGTCACCCTATCTCCGTCAAAAGGGTTCAAATCGCCGGAGCCACTGCCTTTTCGGTTGCGGGTTAGCATTACAGTTTGAAAATTTCAAAATAAGACCGACATGTTTTTTATTACAAAAATAGGATTAATTAATGTCAAGTTTGAAAAATATTGTCATGTTTGAAGTCAGATACTGCGAAGACATGACAGTTCTATTTTGAAATTTTCAAACATTTTTAGTCATATTTCGGATAATATTCTCTAAATTCAATTCACCCAAAAATTAACCCTTACAAACCAGAAGTGAATGGCCGGCCGGCCGGTCGGTTTTTTGTATTAAGAATTTTGCTTCTTGAATTGGGCGTGGATGCAGGAACTCCAGCGGATTGTGCTTCCCTCGGCATCTCCAAAGCTCTCTTCTCTTCAGTTCCCCATTTGGTAATAATTAACCATTTTAATAATTAAACAATTCTCACATCTTATTTACCTTCCTTTTATTTTCTCATCAAAATCTAGAGACCTATTTAACAGATATAGTTCTCAGTTTTCCAGAAAATTAGAAAAGTGGAAAATGGAAAATAAAAAAAGTGTTTACAAAAAAAATTGATGGAAAATTGGAAAAAGAAAAACAGAAAAATGCGTTTACCAAAACATTTTCCGAAACAAAAAATGAGATGTGTCACTCATTCTTCATTCCTTCTGTTCATTTTATTCTCCCTTCAAGACATATCTCATTCTTCTTATGCGTAATACTCACAGTTCCACTTTTTGGTTAATGCCATCTACATATATAGTATGAAAAAAAAGCTATTTATACATTGGATTTATGTTTCAAGTTTTGGGTGTTTAGTTTTTTGTAAAATTAAAATTTGAAAGAACAATAAATAATTAAATTAAATTTATACATGTATACTATTATGTTTTTCAAAATTTTAGGCGTTCAATTGAACACCCTTGAACTACAGTGGCTCCACCACTGTTTGTACACATAAGTTGTAGGATTATTAACTTATTTTATCCCAAACTATCGTCAAATTAACAAATCTATCCTATACTTTCACCTCTATAAAAAAAGACTCAAACTTCATCTTTTTCAACAATTATGCTTTTCTTTTTTGTTTTTTCAAAATTACACATATTAATCAATATCAATATGATATAAGAAATACAAGTTTGTAAACTTAAAACTAAAATTAAGTTAAAAAAATATGAAATATAAATATAATTTTATTCTTAATTTTTACTAATTCATCCATTGAAAGTGTAATTGTGAGAAAAGTTGAAGTTTGGTTCTTTTTTAATAAAAGTGAAAGTGGGTGATAGATTTGTGAATTTATGATAGTTGGGGATATATTTCGCTAATAATCCTAAGTTGTACAATTTCTTGTACACACTCCTCCAATTGTTTGTCTACCAAGGCAGCTCGTTCAGAAGCTGTTGTGTACAAAGCAACTATAGAGTGTGTCCAAGTAATGTGTACATCTTGTGTGTACAAGTAGCACCACCCATATCGTATTACCTTTGTGCCCTTAAGTGAGTTTATGTACTTGGTATATAATTAATAGAATCAAAATAAAGTAAGAATGATTTTCAACCACATGCACAATCAAGGCACTAGGCCAAACTAGGCTGGCATGAAGATTTTTTGTATAAATCTTTACATGAAATTTTTACTAACTTAAAGTTGGTTTAAAATTTGGAGTGGAACGGGACCTAGGACGCCCCCTAGCTTCACCGGTGACCACATAAGCACCGCCAATTTTAGTATGAGACAAACTAAAATGGATAAATGGGACCACCGACCAATGACGACCACCTTAATAGGAAGGGAGTAGTATTTTGTCAATTGTTTTATCATGTACTTCCTCCTTTTTTATTTGTCACATTTCCATTTTAACGTTTGTCAACACACAACTTAGATTATTGATATATTTCTTCTTTATTAGTAAAAAATTAAAAATTTCAAATTTTGGAAATAAAAAATGAGATGAATTTATTTTATATTCTTTTTTAAAAATTAAATATCGAATACATTAATAAATAAAATGCAGTCAAAGTACAACTTGTGGATATTGTAAAATTCAACATATTGTATCTATTTACCTTCACCTTCTTTGAAACTTTGTAATGTTTGAATTTTCAAGTCAATGATTGTAAACTTTGGCCAATCATGTTAGTTTATATATTTTCATGAAATTTATAAGTTTTATACTTCTATGAATATTAACGTATTATTAACATATACGGAGTAACATTTTGTATTATAAATAATTTCTTATAAATATACTACGTAGTACGGAGTAGTATATAATGAGTCAAAGCTTAACTTTATTGACCAAAATTAAAAGATCACAAAGTTTTAAGAAACGTGTTGAGTATATACATATGTATATATGATTAGTGGCCTGGATTGAGTATATATGTATGTATATATGATTAGTTGAGTATATATGTATGTATATATGATTAGTGCCCTGGATTGAGTATATATGTATGTATATATGATTAGTGGTTGAGAAACTCTCACTTACAATATATAAGTTCCAATAAAAAAACATAATTCTAGATCAAAATATCTAATTTCTTATAGTTTTTTATAGTAAAAACAACTTCTAAGAAGCTATCTATTTAATTTTGAATGAGTATAGTATGTGGGTCTATTTACTAGGTCACGTACATGGGTGTAGTTAGGGGGCTGACCCTAGCTAGCCCCGACCCACCCCAAATTTTAAAAATGTCTATATTTTTAGTGTAAAAAATTCCGTGTATATTTTTTTGTGTTTGCTAAATTCGGTTTAGTGCCCTTACTCCGCCCCTGGTCAAGTAGTACTATATAGTTATATTTGGCATGCGGAATAAACTCTTGTTAGCATGTGAATATGCATGTGTGAGTATGGCATGCGGAATAAACTCTTGTTAGCATGTGAATATGCATGTGTGACTATTAGACCTGTACAAAAACGGGCTCGGGCCGGGCTTTTTATAAATTTTCTGCCCATAATGTGTGGGCGGGCCCGGCCGGCCCGCAAAAACGGGCCTAAACCCATGTCCATACCTGCTCGTTAGAGCGGGCCGGGTAGTCCATCGGGCCGCCCGGCCCGGGAAAACTTTAATCTTTTAAAAATTGTATAATTTTTTGATACTTTATCAATAGTATTACAGCATTTAAAAAATTGCTAATACGCTTATAATGTTTTTAGGACTGTCACCACGTACACGAAAAATATAATGAGAAACTATATCTAAAATTTAAAATTCAAGCACAAAGTATTATCTTTAAGTACTAAATTAAAATATACTACATACTAGTATATTATATTGGTTGGACTAGTTGCTAAAAACTAAAAACTTAAATTTAAACATAATAATTAACTATAAATATGTATAAAGATACTTGCACAAAAAATATAATGAGAAACTATAGCTAAAATTTAAAAAATCAAGTACAAAGTACCATGCATCTTTAAGTACAAAAGTAGATATTATCTTGGTTGGGCTAGTTGTTAAGAATTAAAAACTTAAGAAAATGAGTTGGTCCAGTGGTGTTGAGCATATGTTGACTATGTTAAATTTAAATATAATTAACTATAAATATGTATAAAGATAAATTAATAAATATAAACATACATGTGTACATGTAAATAAATAAATAAATTATTATATATATATATATATATATTAAAAAAATGTATATATACTAAATGTAGCGGGCCGGTCTTATCGCCCCGAATGGGCCTACGCCCAAACCCAAACCCGCCCATATGTTATTGCAGGCCGGGCCGGGCCCGATCGGTAAATATATATGCCCAAGCCCGCCTATTTGTGCGGGCGGGCTAGGCGGGCCGGCCCGGTTTTGTACAGGTCTAGTGAGTGTGTATGCATGTTGTAAATCATATTATTCCACGCAATCAGTGGCGGAGCCAGAAATCTATGGTTAAGGGAGCCAGACCTTAAAAATTTTACATTACAGGGGCCAAAGTTTAAATATAACATATTTTCTATAGGTTAAAAGTACTTATATATAATATATACTTTAAAAAAAATTCCTTACAGGGGTCGAGGCCCCCTCCAGCCGCTCCCTATCTCCACCCCTGCATGGAATAATGCAATTCTAGCTGTGTTGTATATGCGTGCCCTTCAATTGGGTTAAAAGGCCATAAAATTAGATTCTGGAACCGTAGGATTTAGGGTCTATTAAGAAGTTAGAACCCTTAAATGTTCCAAAAGGGGAGTAAATTAGGATGAAATATCAAATGAAGGTCCCAGTCTTAATGATTTTAATTGAATTAATTTTGGTTCCAGAATAGATCATATCGAACAAACATCTACTAGATCAGATCATTGCACAGTAGACCGTATTAGAAAATTTCAATCCAATTAAAAACATCTTAAATACTGATTCATAGATATTTTGAAACTCATTTAATTTTAATTTTAATTTTATCATATATAAAGACCAACATATATATGCACATTTATAACTATGTACAACTTTAGTCATACTTGATATTCCTTTCGAAGTACTAAGTCTTTACTAAACAGACGAATTGAAGGAGAAAAATCCATATAGCACTCTTTTCTTGACTCTTACCAATTCTCACTTCCAAAAATGATCCGGGTAAAATAGGAACAGGAACATTATGGAAACCAAGGCCTTCGTTAGATCCTAGTTAATTAGTTTTATTGTCTGCCTCCAAAGACAAACATGATGTTTAATTTGTGTACCCAGGCCAAGCCGTCCGATTGGATATTATAGAGGGCCATGATATCTCCAATCACACATTTTAAGTTCACATCTGAATCCCACATTTTTGCTAATCTTAATTAACCTTTGGAAGGAGTATTAAGACAATTATGAACAATTCAATGAAGGCAGTGAATGTTTATCGAGAAAGCCGTATTTATTAGTGATGAAAGAATCATTAAGAAACTGCCACCAAAGTTGGAGAAGCATTCAACGATTTTTATGGATCATTATGTCACATCATCGTCACATATGAATAACTTAAATAATCTCATAATGTATTAACTTCCCCTCAATAATGGATCTTCATTTAGTAAGATTTTTTTATGGGACATTTAAGATGCACTCTCACACCAAGTACAGAGATGGTCAGTGCCTACCAAGTAGTACACATACATCACAAATTTCAGAGTCTTTCGAAAATGAAAAAGTTGGAAATAATTTCAAAATAATCTTGATTTGAAATTTGATACCAGATTTTTTCTTAAATAATCTACAAAATAATCTTATCTTCTCAATGATAATCTCAAAAAAGATCTTCCACGTCATCAAATTGATCTCCAAATAAACTCAACAATGAGGATGTCCTAAAGTCAATGAAAATTGTGATGGATCCGTAGTCGATCGCCATAGGGTGATCTACCGCGCCGGGCTAGGGATTTTCGCATAAATTTACAAGGCTTACAAGTAAACTTTTCAAGATAATTAAGAGAAGCTTAAATTCGAGTTTATTACGTTGATCAATGTTTTAATCACACAAGGCGTGTTTGACATTTAGCGATTAGCAGATTATGTTTGCGGGTTGTCAATATCGGATTCAATCAGCAGTTTTGGCTAGCGAAGTAAGTTGGCGTGTTGCCAGAAAATGTTTAATAATTTAGTTGGTTGGTCATAACAATTAGTACAAAACACCATATTTTGAAACACTAACCTAAAATGTTGTTATTGCAACGTTTTCATTTCAGCGATTTCGTTTAAAAACGTTATGGTCAAACAATTACGTATTTATCAAACAATGTTTTCACTCACTAAAGAGTCAAACCGTCAATATTTGGCTGAAACGTCATTTTCCAAACACCTCAGAATGATGTATTGATGTCCAATCTACAACTAATGAGAAGGACATTAGATCATTTGTGTGTTTTAAGAGACTATACAATCGCAGGTTGATGCATGATGATGCTCATCTGTTAATTGTTATTACAGGTGATAAGTGGTATTAACATGGGCAGCAATTGTGGTTATCACATGTTAGTAACTTTTACTTTCATCCATGCTTTATTTTTTCGGTTCCTTGTGTGTCCTTTAATTAATGACTTCCTTAATTTATATGAGCTCACACACATGATCAATGGACAAAAACAATTAATGGTTGTCTCAAACAACTAATACGTGCCTTCAACTCTTCAAGCATTGATTTATGGGCCAAATTAAAACACAGACTGAAAATAATGTCTATGGTTGCGGCAGTTTTGAATAAATTAAATTTTGGGCTCTAGAATAGATTTTTCTCACATAGACAGTAATTGTTTGTGTGTACAAATCAGTGTTATTCACAGACAATGGTTGTCTCTATGACCAATTTGAGTTGCTTGTGTGAACAAAACACTAGTTTTCAAAGAGAAATTTTCACAATGATAATAGTTATCTGTAGCCTGTAGGTTTGCAAACCAATATGCATTGTTCGTGTACAATAATTGTCTTCATTTTTTCATTTTCATTTACCCCAGTGCCCCAAAGGCTCCCACCTACGGTGAGGTAAGAGGGGTCGGATGTACGCAGTCTTACCCCTGTACGAAATCATAGAGAGACTGTTTCCGGATGACCCATAGTGAAAATCGCACCCAAACTTGCATGGACTGACTGCTGTTTCATCACAAAGAAGCACAGACAGTTTAGTGAGCCATTTTGCTTTATTCCATCATATTCTCAAGCCAAAAAATAATGAATATTTGGCCAATAATTGTCTCTATGACCAATTTATATATTTTTCAAGATGCACTTTTTCACATAGGCACGAGCTATTGTGGCCCAATTTGACAAACAATTATTGTATATATAGTTGTTCCAATCATTCCATCATTTTCAATGGAGCCAAAAACTCATTATTTTTTACTTGGGAGTTGGGAATATGATGGAATAAATAAAAATGGTTAACTAAATTGTTCGTGCATCTTTGTTATGAAGCAACAGTTAGTCAATTTAATTTTTGACGCAATTTTCATCACGCATCATTCGGAAACAGTGTCTCTGTGCTTTGAGGTAAGATTGTGTATGTTTGACCCCCTTACCTCATTGATTTGAAAGATTACACTAGTGTGTACAAAAGAATTTTTTTCATATCACTACACCATAGTAATTGAGAGTGTGTAGTTTAAAAGAGTCATGTCTCGCCATTTGTAAGAATAAGTAGAGTTTTTGTCTCAGAATTTATCAGTTTTATCATGTCAAACTGCAGTGTCTACTCAGGAACAGTTGCAGGTGCAAGAGAGGCATTCATGAATGGTGTTCCATCTGTATCTTTATCCTACGATTGGTATGTAGTATGCAATGACATGCATGTATAACGAGCAAGGGCTATTAACTACTCCGTAATCGATCTTTTATCAAACTATTCGAGTTCGAGCAAGGTTTCGGACCTTATCGAACTCGAACCCGAACTGAGTTTTAAGTTCAAAAAATTAATCGAGTCGAGCTCGAACATAGTGGTATTCGGCTCGGTTCGAGCTCGAGCCTATTGAACACCCTGAAATTATAAATATAATTTATATATATGTAAAAATTTTATATGATTAGTATGACTTTATGAATTTAAATATGATTATTAACGAACCGAATACTTGCCAAATAATTCGAGCACGAGCCTATTAACGAGCATCACCTAACATTTTATGTTCGAGCATATTTATCGAGCTTGTCGAGCGCTCGGTTCGAACATCCAACGCCTATCGAGCCGAACACGAGTCGCATTTGTAAAGCTCGTCAAGCTTTGAGCTTGAACTCGAACACCCTTATTACCAAATTGAACCAAGCTCTGGGTTTTCGGGCTCGGCTCGATTCGTTAACAGCCCTGTTTATAAACTAGGGGTCGGGCCTAGCATATCTCTTATCCCCATGCCAACGCCCTAAGTGGTATGAGCATGCATTTTTCATAGATATTTTATTTAGTTGCAACATTTTCTTTTTCATGTTTACCGATACATGACTTTGACTATTACTCGTATTATGTTTAAGGGACTATTAACAAATGTTGTAAAAATTCATATTTTTAAAATTTCAAACAAAGGCAAATTGAAGACAAAATTGAAAATATGATTTTTTTAATACATTAACAAATCAAACGTTGTCAAAGTACTTTTGTGTAGTAAAATATCAAAAGTAGTGTAAAATTCAATTTCAACTTCTTTAATTTCAACTTGATTTAAAACACTATTTTTAAATTTTAAAGAAAAATTTAAAAGCATTTATGTTATTATGTAAGCAATGTAATACACCCCTGGGAAGAGTTGTGAAAGAGTTAATTAGTTTGTCTTAATTTTTTTTTGCATAACATTGTTCATTTAAATGACTGACAGGATTCGGGGAAAAAGCAATTTCAATCACTTCACACTAGCTGCTGAGGCTTGTGTACCCATTATATTATCTATATTGGCTGATATAGAGAGTAAAGCTTATCCCCAAAATTGCTTTCTTAATATTGTTGTGCCAACAGATGTTCAAAAACACAAGGTAAAATGTGGACTGCAGTGTTAATATACCCAATAATAGTGGATTTTATGTGATAATCTAAATCGGACGTAACATATTATAATTATACTCTTTCCCTCCCTTATAACATTGTCAAAACTGACTGACATATATAATACATATAATAATTAAATGAAAACTGTGTGATTAATGTTTGGGTAGAGGAGGGAAAATTAGCAAGTTTTGAAGTTAATGAAATGGATGGAGTAGTATTAATCATCTACTCTCACAAAGATTTGATTTTTTTGAGTTATTATATATCCTAGAGTGAAAACTTGTTGAATTAGTCTTATAGCTTTTGATCATATTAAGGACATTTCCAACACAATGCACTATTTCAATTCCCTGATGAAAAAATAAAGTACAATGGAAGGGGATGCCAACATGAAACATTTTGCTAGAAATAGTACATCCGGTTGGAAAAGTCTTAAATGTGGATGAATTATTAGTTATTACAATGTATAATTTGCAAGTGAGTAAAGTTATAGAACTTGTAATGATTATTGATATATGTTACGAGAATAAATTGTCATTTTGTTGCTATTATGCAAGTTCAAGTTCAAGATTTAGAACACTGTTTTTGTCGATTTATTCTAGGGTTTTAAGCTTACTAAGCAAGGGAAAAGTTTAATCAAAACGGGATGGAAGCAAGCTAATAGTGAAGGACATGGAGCGAAAATGCTATCAACTATGACTATGGACTTAACACCATCACAAACCACACAACCAAGTGTTGATCACACCGGACAGGACCAATTTTTATTCGCTAGAGAAGTAAGACAAATTCTCAATGATCTACTTATTTAGTTATTTTCTTGCCCATGAAAGTTCTACATTGTTTTGTATATGCTTTTATATAACCTTAAAATAATATGCTAAGAACAGGTTAGGGAAAAACAAGTGGACAATGATGGCACAGATTATAGTTATCTTCAAGATGGATATGTAAGCATTGTTATTAATTTGGTTTATTGATATAATTAATAGTTATGATGCTAGTAGTTGTTTTAAGAGCCATATGATTGGGAAAACTCCAGGTTTGCACGTTTTTTGTACATTTTTTTGTATACATCCCCATATTTCGCATGTGTACACAGGCCAGCAGTTCGTCTAAAAAAGACAAACACGTGCGAGTACAAAAAGTATACAAAAAAAGGTGTACATCAAGAATTACTCATATGATTAACTAAAATATTGTTCGACCATCATTGTTGTCTTTGGTTGTAGATAATTGTCACCCCCACCAATGCGTTGTTCACTATTGACGAAGACAATTCAACATTCTTCATAGACTGGTTGCCTTCTGGGGTTGAACAACAATGTGCTTCCGATCTTCTTCCTTCTAAGATCAATTTTTTCCCAGATGATAAAGGCGGAGACATTTTAATTAGTTCTATAAGTAATGAATAAATGAGCACTATTAGCCCAGTGTCAACTTGTCAAGTGATGAGAGCATTAAATATACACCAATGTAATATAATTAAGGTCGGGTACTTGATCTAAAGTCATGTGTATGTTTATTTTGATATAGTAGTTGATTGTCCCAGCACGTACGATATATCATTCGTCAAAGTCGTGTACTATGTATTCCCTTGACGTAATTACTAATATCATATTAACAAAATAATTGTGCTTAATAGTGAAGAAATTTCAAGAATGGGGAATAAGAAAAGAGAATGGAATGATAGATTATGTATAAAATTGTTTGGCCTGTTTCGATCTATACCTTCGATGTCTCCCTGTTTCAATTTCCCAAGTGTATGCAAAATCTAAAAAAATGTTTTTCAGTATTTGATTTAAAAAAAGTTGAAATGAGTTTCACGCGTATTTTTTTGTTTTCAAATATTTATTTGTTACCAAATGCTATCAACTTATTGTAGCACTAAGGCGTACATGTTGCATTGGTGTACCAATTCTTTCACTAATATCTTTGCTTAAATTATTGACAGTTTATGCATTCCAAAAAATAAATTATACGATCAGCAAGGCTAAACATGGTCATGTTCCAGTTGGGTTTTGAATCACCCGGTTTTGACTAATATTTTAGCCCTTTTAGCAAAATGAAATTTCCACTAGAATCGCTTCATTATATTCTTGCAAAAATCGAAGTGGAGTTGGACCAAAACTATTTTTCATATTCAGGCTCTATGGGAGAATTTGGATAGGTCTCACACTAATAGGCCTTAAACTATTTCACCCGTTCACGGTTGTATTGTCGGATTCTCATTGTTCAAATAAGTGCTTCATAAAACATAATATTTCATGGTTTGAAAATTAACATTGATTTGTACTTACTTATCTCTTTTCATCACCAGCCACAACTACAAATACTATATGCAATATGCACAACTAATTCATAGTTTAGGAATATATGTTCATGCATAGAATATTTATAAAGTTTTATCAATCTATACTGCTTGTCTAATCAAGATGAACCTATATTTTTGTATGTTTCTAGATTTAAGTATTTTTGTTTTTAACAAATTGTTTTAATACTGAAGCAAGACGAATGGTTAAACAATGTTTCGAACAACGTTTCAAATATACTCCATCCATCCCAAATTGAGTTGCAAAAGTTGACTGTCAAGAAGATTAAAAAAACTTATAGATTTATATTGAGTTTCCAATTTTACCCTTGCCTCATAAAATAAAGAAGAAATTGGAAAAGTGGAAAAGTAGTAAAGTACACTTCAAAAGCACTTTCACCGTATGTGAGGTCTTGCGGGCAGCATTAGTAATGCTTAGGCTAACCGCAAGCCAACTCCGTCAATAAATCAAATTCTCCACTAATTTATACGTATTCAATCAGTCAATTCAAAAAAATTCCGCAACACAACACCGTCAATATATTCACGCAACATTTTTTAATTAAATCCTTATTTATATTCTTATACACTAATATTTTTCCAATTTTTGGTTGTGAATAATTATGATTTGAAAAGACAAATATTCCTATGTAAAAATAAATAAATTTGAAGGGTATTTTTTTAGTGGTTACTTCACACCTATTTGCAAAAGAAAAATAATTGAAAAATGTAAATAAAAAAGATTTAACTATGAGATCTTAGGATGTTTTTACTCGGAGTGTAATTCGTCCTATACCAGATCAGACCAGACCAGACTTGGATAGTTATAAAAATTCAAAGAGACCAGACATTACTAGACCAGACCAGCAAATCACAGTCCAAGTAAAAACATCTTTAATTTTAACATTTGAATCCATTTAAGCAAAAATTTAGGTCTAGAAACGTTGAACAGTTAAAATCTCATATTGTTTTCAACTTTACATATGCAATACTAATGTATATGAAAGATCATAAAAAATTATGAATTTTGATATATATTTTGTTAAAAATGGAACATAATTTTAAATTCAATTGAGTGAGTTTCAGTCCAATTTACTCCAGGTCCCCCCAGACCCCCTCTCCCAGACGCCTCATGGAGTAAAAAAAATAGAATTTTAATTTTACACGGGCTCAACAAGTTATGTACTTCGGAGTGGCAGATTTCCACTCCAGGTGCCCCAAATACATTTTACACCCTAGTATACCATTTCACGTGGGTTGCAGCAATTTTGGGGGTGAAAAGTGGCTTTTTCACCCAACGTTGTGATCAGCCTTAGAACAAGTACAAAAGCTACAGCACACAACATGTCTAATCCAACTAGTTTGAAGAGGGAAATAATTTCCCACGGAAACACTACGTACAACCAAATGAAACTTAATCATTTCAGTTTTCCCACCATTACACCTACAACAGGGTCAGGGGGCTCATGAATAATGAAACTTAAACATTTCATTTTTCCCACCATTACACTTACGACAGGGCCTACATGAATAAATATAGAGTACACCATCACAAAATGACATTCAACTGCCAAAAGCAAAACTAAAGAAAGAGCTCCTCTTCTTCTCAATTTCCTCTTTTCTGCACTTTTCTGAAATGGTCCAGGATATTCATAAGAATCATATCCCTGCTTCAACTGAGTTGGAACTCATTTCAGTTCCATGTCACTTGCAACCCCATTTAACTCCTCCTGTCCAAACAAGAAATACAGTATCATCTTTCAAGAGCAAGATTTTGCAAATAAGCACACTGTTTAAATGGAATGGACACACAAAGTTATTGAAATGCTTTTGACCAATAAAGTGAACAGAAAATTGAAGAATGGCATATTAAAAGATGCAGCTGTTGTGTTCAACAGATCACCACGCAAGGGGTGTCATGTTTGGCAGAAGTTCTTGGCGCAAATAAAAGCGAGGAAAGCATTTGATATGGAGACTATGTTAAAAGGAAATGTTGGGAGAGAAGAGAAGTACAATTAACATAGAAGAAATTAAAAACATCCTGGTTCAAAAAAGAAGCACCTTGAGGTCACTTGTAGTGGAACTGGATGCTTCCATATCTACACTTCACGGACTTGTCAAGGAGAAGGCAATTAATAGGCACTCAAATGCAGTCAAACCATTTTTAACAAAAAAAAGTATGCAAAAAAGAATGGAGTTATGTTTAAGCCATTTTATTTCATCATACAATTCCATCAAATCCTACATTTCACGATTTCAATGAATACTAATTCTACTTAACGAATGAAAATGAACATGTCTATATGCAACCCAAAGAACCTGACTCATATAGGGAAGTTCAAAGTAAAAGGTTTATTTCTAAAGTAATGTTTTTAGCGGCTATCGAAAGACCTCAAATAGGTGAATGTTGGGAGGTCTTGTGGGAGGTCTTGTGGGATGGAAAGATTGAGATTTTCTCATTCACTTATCAAGATACGACAAAAAGAAACAACAAGAATAGATCAAGAGGGACCCGAGTTAACCACACATAATAATTCAACAAGATAACGGTAAACCACGTATGAAGTGTGATGACATATACCACCTTTTGTGGTGTCCCCTGTAAGGGACACCACAAAAGGTGAATGAGACATTCAGTTAACATGACAGCCTCCTAATAATCCTGATCTAAATGTGTTAGATCTAGGATGATTGATAAGTCCGTATTTAGACACGCATTTGATGCGTGTTGGAGTTGGATTTTGATGGTTTTCCCAGCTTTAAGGTGTTGCAAGTCTCAATTTTAGCTCAAGTTATGTTTACCGGGCGTTGGTTCGAGTTTTGTGTTGTTTGTAGTCAAAATCAGGGAATTTGAGTCCGGCACCGGCACTTGAGAAACAATCGGGATGATTTGAGAAGCATTTGAGAATGATTTGATAGCTTTGGAGGTCACCGGAAGATTCACAATGAAGATTTGAAGGAAAAAGAGCTCTAGGACCGGCTTCGGGATAAAAAAGAAGACGAATAGAGCTTGAAAACGACGATCAGGATGACCTTCTGTCAATCGTTCAATCATATCTCTTTGTAGAAACAACCAATGGACACGATTCAAGTTTCATAGGAAAGCCAACTTCAAGGGCTACAAATCATATGAAGACACCTTTGCGAGAATCGGAGAGGAAGAAGGTGAAAACAGACGATGAAGTCAGATGATCTCTGCTGCGATTTCAGAAAGACACCTTCCACCGTTTTGATCATATCTCTTGATTGAATGATTCAAATCACATTCGGCAAATTGGGGTGGATAGAGGACTTCATTATCTACAACTTTCATGAAAGAAGTTTTGTCAAATTCGGAAGTTAAGTAGGCACGATCGTGCCCTCAAAGTCAGACACGATCGTGCGTGAAGAGAAAAGCACCGCGGAGCTACTGCCAGCCAGGCACGATCGTGCCTGGAGGGAGGCACGATCGTGCCTGCCCAAAATGCGCGTTTTTGCTCCGGAGGCACGATCGAAGGCACGATCGTGCCTGGCATCGTGTCTTGCTCCGAAAATCCTAATTCAGCACAAATTTCACCCGATTTTTCTATTTAAACATCCTGTAAACCCCCGTTTTCAAGGGGGAGCTTAGAGAGAGTGCCTAGCACGAATTTTAGAGGGCTTTTCAGCCTTGTTCATCAATCTTTTGGGATTCTTTGTAAGTTCCACCTTTTTAATTAATGACAATTAATTCTTTTTATTCCAATTCTATTGATTCTTCAATTATGAATTGTGAGTAGTTTTAATTAGGGATTTGGGATTGATGAAGGGGTTAGTCATGATGTATGGCTAGATTCTTGTCGGTTTAATTGCATGAATGTCGTTTAATTTGTGTTTGAATAATTTAATTGATATCTTTTGTAACCTAGAATCGCGACTAGAATTACAATTGCATGTAGAATAAATTAAGAGAGATCTAATTTGTTCTAGGACACATTCACACACACTTAATCGTTCGCTAAGAGATTAGTAGCGATTAAGGGGCCGTAAGCTCGCTCGTCTTGGCAATAATTTTGGATCCTGTCGCATGAGAGATCAGCCTGGTCCCCTAAATTATTGTACTTTACGCCGCGAGAGCGGTAAGAACTTAGTAATGATTAGCTAGGCTCAATTAAATTAATTTCATGTAATTAGGCCTGATCTGCCAGAAATCTGGTTACCCCGGAATCGATCCCTGTTCCCTTCGTCATTAATTAGAAAGAACCCCCTAGTTTAATTGTTCGCATTAGTTTTATTTTCCAAACCAACCAATCTTGCATGACGCTTTTATTTTATTTTCTTTTTAATCGCTGAATTTAATTAATTCTTGATTCCCTTTTGTCCGTCCCTGTGGAGACGATACTCGTACTTTCACCACTATATTACGATCTATTTTAAGTGCGAGAAAACACACATCAGTTTTTGAAATTGTTTGAGTGATTCTTCCAAGCTAGAAAGTCTCTTTAAATCTGCCTCATCCAGATCCTCTTGTTGATTATGAGGCTCATTACTCGGGAAGTATGTAAGATCTTGTCGCATGAGAGATCAGCCTGGACCCCTAAATTATTGTACTCTACGCCGCGAGAGCGGTAAGAACTTAGTAATGATTAGCTAGGCTCAATTAAATTAATTTCATGTAATTAGGCTTGTTCTGCCAGAAATCTGGTTAACCCCGGAATCAATTCCTGCTCCCTTCGTCGTTAATTAAGGAAAACCAAATCTTTTTATTCGCTCATCAGCATTAGTTTTCGTTTAATCAATCCATCAATCTCGCACAATTGCACTTTTATTTTATTTATTTCTTTTTAATCGCTAAAGTTTAGTTAATCTTTAATTCCCTTTTGTCCGTCCCTGTGGAGACGATACTCGTACTTTCAACCACTTTTCTACAACTATTTTAAGTGCGAGAAAACACACATCAATGATTTAGGGATATTAATTCACTAAAGTATTAAAAAAGTTCAACAAACATTGATGACTTGGTCAATTTATGTTCAACAATCATTTGATGAGCCTGATTCAAGAAATATGAATCGTTTATGGGTCACATTGGAACAAGTTATCATAGAGGTGCTAAAGTACAAAGGTCACAACAAATACATGTGAAAGGAAGTCCGAAAAGACAAGGTATTCTATCTAAGGCGATTGCAGTTGATCCTATTTTGTTCAATCACGCACTTGCAAAGGCCAATAGAAATGGCACCAAGTGAAGAGGCGGAAAATGCACCCATGGGGACCGGATGGGGTTCACGTCTGAATCAAATCTAAACTTTTATGAAGGAGTTAAGGATACATTTTGTCTTAAAGCAGCACATTCTTTTTCAAAGGCTATATTATAGAATGTTTTTTTTTCGTTTAAAGGGTACATTTGATAATAGACATATTTTTTGTACCAAACAATTAACTTGTCATACATTGTGAGTATTCATGTTCAATGGTATGATACAATGCTAATGATATTTGTATCAACTTTAGTATTTAATAATTGTGATTGCAGCCATTGAAGATTGATTGAAGACTTTAGATTTATCGGATTATCAATATGCTTATTGCAAGACACTTTACCCATTATTAAAAGATTGATTGAAAACTAATTTTACTTTAAACAAATTATTTTAACTTTCTTTTAATTTGAATTGCACTTCTGAGGTTGTAATCTAACTGCAAACAAGTTTTACAAATTGTACTCTAAACAGGATTTGCAAACTTTCTTTTAAAATACCCCTTTGTTAATCTAAAGTTGCCGTTTGTGCAGTTTATAGAAGTGGTTCAGTGCAAAGTAATTTTACTTCTGAGTTGTAATCTAAAGTGCACTTTTAAACTGCACTTCTAAAGTTAATTTTAATGATTACAAGTTTTACTTGAATGCATCTTAACTGCACTTCTAAAGCTTTATTTCAAACTGGTTTTACTTTTATGCACTTCCAAACTGGATTCTTGGAAGATAGCAAGTTTAGCGTTAGGAAAAAAGACAGGATTCTTGGAAGATGGCTTGTCAGAATGTCCAAAAGCCTCATAAGTTTGTTCACAAAAGTAAATACCCCTCGCTCATCTAATCAATTATTCACCATCCATGCCATATTAAGAACTATTCCTACACTTGGACCATAACATTAACAGCCGGCATTACTAGACCATTCTATATAAATTTACAAAAAAAAAAAAGTTGAAAAGAAAATTTGGAGTAAAATTCGTGGGGAGTCAGAAGTAGCTGGTTGTTGTAATCAAGATTGAATTCATAGGGAATCCGTCTGATTTTTTCTTCATCCACCCCAATCAAATCCATATCTCCAAAGGAAATACTGCGTATAAGAATACGAGATAAAAAAACACAACTGTATCTACTTTATGAGCTTGAAGCCCTAATGAAATTGAGGAAGGATTCAGAGCTATTTGTAGACACATACATACAAGAATGAATATGTATGCTTTTAAAATTGTTATAGCCTAAGGATAGATTCCTCAATCCACCGCTTCAATCTGGATTCCAATCAAGGAATTGCAACATTAGGCTTGTCATTTGAATGAAAAGAATAATCGCTGATTAAATACTGAGTTTGGATGATGGCATGTCAGAATATCAATAAGCCTCATAAGTTTGTTCAGAGAAGTAAATACCCCTCACTCATTTAATCGATTCATCATCCATGCCACATCAAGAACAAGTCCTACACTTTGCAGTAGATGATGGTCGGATCTGACGGATTCAGCGAAAGAGTTCGTAGATCAAAACCGAGAACCTTGACGTGGGTATTGATCAGGGATGGTGGCCTGGTGGGGCTTCCGTTTATGTGCCTCTCCACTACCATGAAATGGAAATTTCTCATACTGCATATTCAAGTACAGCTATTTTAAATCTATTGTAGCAGTAATCGTGATTAAAAACTTAGAAAAATTGAATTTGAAAGTGTAAAATATGAGTCTAATCCAGGCCCCCAAATCATAGGTCCTTTAGAAGGATCAAAGGGAGCAGACATGACGACTCTGGGCATTCAATTTCCGTGCACATAACCATGCTTCATTATTTTAATCCAGAGCATCGGCTTATTGTGCACGGATTAAAGAATACAACGGAAACATCATTATCATAATTATACCAGCAGGCACATGAGATTACCAGATTGGGTGGGAGAAATAAAGTGGAGAAGTGTTTGGAGATTAAGTCCACCCAAATCAACAAGGATGGGTGACATGGGTCTAATTTCATTGTAATCTGTGTGAGCAGCGCTATTTGTAGAAAGGGATGCAAAATGGGGCGATCCATTCATGAATGTGAGGATAGATGGAGGGGGGTTTTGTTGTTTATGCGATTGGTGTGAAGTGTACAAGGGTAACAAGGCAGTGATTGGGGAGAGGAAGAAGCATTAGATTTGGGTAGGGCTGTCCCCGGTTCAAACAGGTTTCAACAAAACAAATCCCAGTTCTCTAAACAAGAAAAGTCAGAACCAGAACCTTATAGATGCTTTTCCTAGGCAGGTAAGGGAGGATATAAACAAAGTATTTAATAATGAGTCAAAATTTGAAACATCGACGTTTAGAGTCAAATAGGTAACACTTAATATGTAATCCAGTAGTATCAGACTCAAACTCAGAGAAAACAAGTGCAAAACAAAGAGGACATGTGATTAACACCACTAAGTAAATCTCTTATTGGTCTCCCGGCAGAGTCTTGATGATGTCAGAATCACCTGGATCAACAATGCTAAGGCACGACACACGGAAATACTTTCCACAGGCTGTCCCAAGATCAACATTGTTTCCATTGTAATGATGAACCCCAACCTTAGCAAGCATAGCATAGTACTCAATCTCAGACTTCCTCAGAGGTGGGCAATTGTTAGATATCAATACAAGCTTTCCTTTGGAGTTCCTGAGGGTCTTGAGAACGGTTTTGTACCCAAGTGTAAACTTACCACTCTTCATGACGAGAGCTAACCTGTTGTTTATGCTCTCATGGGTCTTCTTCGTCTTCTTCCCCGCGGTCACCATTGTCGATATGCAGAGATGCTAAGGATCGCCCGCTTGGAGGTAGGGGTTTGCTGAAGCTAGCTAAAAATATATTTTATAGTATCATTAGTCTATTTAACTAGAAAAGTAACTCTAAATCTATATGTTATAGCAACATTAGTCGATCATACTTATATTGTCAACTTCACATAGACGTTTCATTGAATAAATGTAAGCCACAACACGGATAGTCATCTTCATAACAATTACATGAAAGACTTGAAAGACAAGGTGGCTATAGTTGAATTTAGCTTATGTTCATTTTGTTAAGTGCCGTCATTGATTTATCAGAACAGCACTTGACCGTCCATAAGCACGCATCCCATACATGAAAACTAAGGTCATCTCAAACACAAATACAAATATCACAATTTGATGAATGGAAACATCCTTGGAAATGCAGCATATCAACAAGGCCTCTAGGCCTTTCTGTCCGAAATACACTGTGTTTTAATATATATTTCTTCACACACCAACTCCAACAGAAAATGACTTCAAAATATAAATACATAACCAGAGAGGTAAATGAGTTTCTCATGGCATTGGATAGGGTGGGGCAAGACCAAGCTAATAGATGAATACAACCGCTTTATATTTAAAAACAATAGACTAAACATTGTAAATCTCTTGAACAAGAGAGCAAGTTTAACGTTGGGAAGGCATGATTTCTTGGACCGTGGCATGTCAGAATATCAATAAGCCTCGTAAGTTTGTTCAGAGAAGAAAACACCCCTCACTCATCTAATCAATTCATCACCCATGCCACATTAAGAAGAAGTCCTAAACTTGGGTTGTGTTTAAATTGAGGGAGGAGAACAGAATGAATTTGAAGCACGTACAAGTAGTATTTCAGATATATAAGAAATACATAGTTGTAAGTTAAATCTGTTTAAATTTAAAAAACACCAAATTTTCAGAGAAATACAAAGAGGCCTCAGAGATCTTGGTGGAAAAATATCATCACATGGAATTTCCAATCAAGAGTAGCAAATATTTTACAACATCAACGGCCAAAACTCGTGTTTGAAACATTGTTTAAACCCATTCATATTGCTTCAGTGTTAAAAACAGTAATTAAACAAAGAAATGATACAAATGGTGGATGATACTAACATTCATAAACATTTTTAAAAAATTTAGACTTAGAAGGATAGGATAAAGAAAGAATGACTAATGTTGGTTCTAGATAATCAATTTACAACGAATATCTAATTGAACATGACCAAAGATTTTTTTAGTTTTATAAACTGGAATACTATGATTAACATTATTTGAAACATTAATGTTTAAACCCGTTCATATTGCTTCAGTGTTAAAAGCAGTTTTTAAAAACAATAGAGCTAAAATCTTAAGACATTGAATAATATAGACTCATCTTGTCTAAAAACAGACAATAAAATGATGACAAATCATTGTGTGAAATCAAAGATAAATTACAAAAATGCATTGCGTTTAATAAAATGGCAAATAAATGCTACGAATGGGTATACCCAACTCTAACAAAGGGTTTTTTATATTCAAAATATATTACATCTATAAAGCGATGCATAAATACTCATAAGATTAGTAGTACAAATGTAACCGGACTTACTAGCTTTGAGAAAATCGTCCACAGCCTGTGAATATTTTAGCTCTCTGGCTTCGTTTACCAGCAGCCTCCTCGCCACTAACCACAATTCGGTCGCATTCGTATCAATCAATACACATAACACAAGAGAAGAAACAATTAACAAAAGGGAACTCGTATTAAACATACAAAAAGTATAATAAAAAATATAGATAAGTGTTGTCGAAATGTATGTTGACCGAGATGAAAAGAAAATGGGCGAGATATGGAACCTGAAAGCGGATACCGCGGCCGTGACCTGTATATATGCCGGAATATCGACCGGAGACGAGGGTGTTAATCTTCCGGTTCCTTGCAGACACGGAACTGCTGAAGTAATGCTATGCTATGGGATGATGTTTATATACTGATATACGCAGCTAACCTAGGATTATAGATGGGCCAAATTGATATGGGCTCTGAACTTATAATTGGAGTCCAGATTTCTATTCCTAGCAGACACGTGGTCGTTATTTTATTCACAATTCTTAGAAGGTGTTTATTTCGCTGCTAAAGTTAGTGTTAGCTTAGTAAGACAAGTGAAATAAACACGCAAACTATTTAAAATGCTCCTTACTAACCGATGCTTAAAGTGTCGCTAACTAAGCATATCACCACTCCATGTATTCATTAAGCGGCATTTTAAGCATTTTCAGTTTCCGAATTTATATTTACCCTTACCCCTTGACTTTACCCCTATACCCGCCTACCCCTTCTATCCATCCCACCATACCCACCTTACCCTACCCCGACCCTACCCCTTTACCCCCTACCACCTTCCCCTACCTCGACCCCACTCATCTCAACCTTTACTACGACCTTACCCTCTACCCCTACTCCCCTACTCTCTACAACCCTCATCACATACCCATCTCTCATAGGGGTGGGGTCGGAGTCGGGTTGATGTAAGGGCATGTGGTATGGGGTAAAGGGGTAGGGTCGGGGTAGGGTAAGGGGTAGGGTGAGGTGGGGGATGGGGTGGGGTTGAAGTAAGGGAAGGTGGTAGGGGGTAAAGGGGTACAGGTGGGGATGGGGGAACCCAATATAGGGGTAAGGATGGGGTGGGGTCGTGGTAGGTGTAAATGGGTAGGGTCAGGAGTTGGGTAGGGTGGGGTTGAGGTAATGGAAAGTGGTAGTGGATACAGGGGTAGGGGAAGGGTGGGGTGGGGTGGGGTAAAGGTGTAGGGTGGGGGTATGGGGGCTATAGGGTGGAGTTAGGGATATGAGTACATGTACGAGGTGATCCCACATATTATATTACGTAGTATATAATTGTGTTCATGAATGTTTGTGTGTTATATATGTATAAGGTTATTTTAGATATTTTAATGTTTTTTTGTATAGATATTTTAATGTTAAACAGTGTTTTATATCTTTTGAAGTAAACATGAGCTTACAACACTGCTAATTTTATGCGCCGCTTATTAACGCGACTCTTAATAAGCACCGTTTTGTAACATTTGAAATAAATGTGTCCTTAGTCTTATCGTACACATTTTACTGTTCACACATGTGTACACATTGTTTGTAAGGGGTGGGATAGACAAAAAAGCCTTCTGTACCATCCTGATGAGCTAGTTTTATTAATCATTATTATTGATTTTAGTTAGTTAAATAAGTTTCTTCTATGAATAATGTGATGTACTCCATATTATTTAACATGTTTTGTTTGTGACAGGTAACGTTGACCAGTAAGTTCATAATTTTTTTAATCGAAGAAATAAATACTACTATCTTTGTCCCCCTAAGTTTGATACAAGAGAAGGTGACACAATTATTAATAAAAGTGGATTTATGTGGTTGATATTGAATTGATAAAGTAAAAATAAAGTAAGAATGATTTAGAACCACACAAATTTTACCAAATAAGGTATGAGACAATCTTAGTGGGACGGACTGAAAAGGTAAAATGAGACAATCATAGCGGGACGGAGGGAGTATATTGATATTTATTTAGTATATATATTGAAAGGGAAAATATCATTGTTCAGTCTGGCCTCAAGTATTTTCTTTTAGAGGACTAAGAGACCAAATCAGTTATCTTGGCCCGAATTAATTTTTACCTAAAATCCCTAAGGAGATGTGCTTAAACTTCAAAATCAACCTTAAACATTCATGTCTAGGTTGAAAATACAAACAAAATAGTGGTAAATGTTTTTGCAGGACATCGGGCACACTCATTGAGTTAGACTTGTCACCCGCTCAACAAGGGACGAACTTACAGTTGCCAAACCGAAGCGTCAATATCACCATTGACGAAATTACAGTTTACTACGTCTACAACAATATTGTCTTAGTCATAACGACGAATTCAATAAGAAACAAGATGACGAAAGCTTTCTGTCAGAGATATGACAGATTGATATACGCATTCTGCCAAACTGGGATGACGAATTGATAGGCCCTTTTTCACAAGACGAATGACAGATTGAAAGGTATCTTGTCAAACGGACGACAGACCGACAAGCGCAATAATCAAGGATGTGAAGTACAAATCCTTTCAAAAAATTCAAAAAGTTGCTGCTCAACGGCTCAACATGTGCACCCGTACACCTCAACTTCTCGAAAGGGGGCAATTGTTGGACCAAATATTTGGCGGGTTGACTCTACATTCATTGAATTGATCATGGAAGTTAATGAACATAATGTTGGCCGTTAGGACGTTTTTATGTGTTAATATGGACATTACTATGATTAAGGAGGGGGTTAATTAAGAGTCAACCAATCTTTATGACGAAGTCCTCAAACCGTTGGACAATGATGGGACGATGGAGTTGTCACGTTTATGAGCATTTATTGGTAACATCAATGAGAAGGTTGTCCAACAAGAAAACATTGTACATAAATAGAACCTTTAGAATATAAATTGCATTATTAAATGTCACACTAACGGATGGTCAACTCGGAAGAAGAGAAGGTTAATATTAATGCAGGTTTGTAACGGACTGCAAATGCAGATGGAATCATAACAGTGCTTACTTTCAAGCATTACTAATCAGACTGTTTGAAACGACTTGATAACTCGTCCAAATTTTGCCTATTCAAATACAATGAACAATGGATGTAAGAAGAATGCTTGAACATTATGCACTATTGTATACAACCTTGAAACACCTCTAAACTTCTTGAATATATCATATTTTAGCTATTCATTTGATATTCGGCTAGTTCTTTGATTCTTGCATGATACCTAATTTATTTGTTGTTTCCGAATATACAAGTCGTATTTTACGAAGTTTAGCTTACAAAAAACAGCTTAAACATGGCCCCACTCATTTGGGAGGTCGTCCCTTTATGTCCAGGAGTGTACACTTAGTCCCAAAAGTTGTATTTCTCAGACTGTTTTAATTAAATTTCATTTTATCGGGCCAAATAAAATAACCATTCTCCCAATTATTATGGGCCTCTAAAATGAATATATATTCCTCACTTTAATTTAGTGGTCCCCTGAATTTATTACGGGTTATTATCTGACAATATACTAACACAGGTATATGGGCTTTGTTTCATCAATCGGCCAACTGTTGTTTCTATGGCCCAACATTGGTTACACCATCATACAAATATTTTCTAGACCATGATAAATACAATATGTTGCCCTAGAAATATCGGGTGGTCCTCGCTCCCGGTGTGGGCCCCACGTGTATTTTACTATTCACATAAAAGTAATAACAAAAAATTACAACCACGTAAATTCATTAACCATTTAACAGGATTCAATACATAATTTGATAAAAGTAAATATACTTGGCGATGGTGTTACAATATTTCAAAGGACATTCTAATCTAAATACATGACATATTGTTGGAAAATGTGTTAATAAATTGCATTAAATGGTCATTTTGGGGCAATATTTTGAGTGGGGTCCACTTCCGATTTGGGTCGGACCAAAGTGGTTTCGCATTGTCCTTATTAACTGCTAAAATTCGATATAAGGTACGCTCAACACGGATAACGGGTGAATGAGAAATTGATTCTCGAAGTTCGTCGTTGAAACTGAAAAACTATGAAAAGATGGGTTTCTAGTGTGGTTTTTCCCACTCCGGAAAACCCAAGGGATTTTGAACCTCTTATAAAGGGAAGTCTCTTTTAAGGAGTTAAGATTCCTAAGTGGAAAGGCTCTCTTTGTGCACGGGGGTGCGAATCAAATCCCAAAAACGGAGAAGAAAAGTTGCGACTTGCGTGCGCGGGCGACCCGCGGACAAGAATGCCGTACGCTTTAAGGACATCGTGTGTAGCACGAGCTTTTGCTAAATTCTACTTCATCTATTTTCTGTTTTTCTTTGTCATTTACATTAATTTTAATCAATTTATTTTTCTTTGTTTTTCGAAACACACCCAACACATATACTATTGTATTTTTTAATTAATCGATATTGTACAAAATATTTTTAATGTATATAATGGCAGATTGATGATCTGGTTTACAAAACCTTTTCTGTGGAGCATCTATTTGGTATGATGAAATTCTCAGGTCAGGTTATAAATAAAAGGGTTTTTTACAAGAATATTACTAAAATAAAACATATTTACATAAATATGACTTTTCATTACTACAATGTGGTGTTGTGGTAACTTAAGCTCAAAACTTGAACATGAATTACTATGATTTCATTACTACTCTAGTCAATAATCATATTTTTGTAAATCATCTTTATTTTGGTCATATTTGTGTAATTATTTCTAAATAAAAAACCCGAGGTATGCTCTTCGCTGTTCGTTGTGTACATGGAAAAATAAAAGAAAGAATGACCCAAATATTACTAGTGGAGTTTCAAAGGACAAAAGTATGACCACTTTTGATTTGGAGTTTGGACGAGAAACAGATTTAAAATGAGGTCCATCGTGTATAGGGGTGAGTTCGGGTTTTTCGGTTCGGTTTTGACCTAAAACCAAATACGGAACCAAAGTAAAAGTCAGGTTCGGTTTCGGTTCGGTTTTACACTCCAAAACTTGGAACCACGATTTGATTGGTTCAGTTTGTTTCAGTCCGGTTTCGGTTTTTTACTAAAAAATTGTCATTTGATTTAAAATTGATATAAAAGTTGGAGGGATCAAACATATCACATAAAAATGCAAGCATTCTTGAACAAATAAAGAAAATAATAAACAAATATGTCTTGAATTATATGAGTATGTGGGAGAGATAAAAGTGTGTATATATTCTTAATTTACATTGTTTGTGACTAGTTTGATAAAAGTTTATGAATACATATGTCCTATGTGATATAGCTGAGATGAATATTTCTTTGTTTTATCAATATAAAAATTTAAGTTACAAAAAAAAAATTAACTTACATAAAATAAAAGTTAATCACCACTAATAACCAGTAAAAACATATAGGCTCTGTTTGCAAGTGATTGTGCTTAAATAAAAAGCATTATTTGGGAAAAAGTGATTAG